TCTGATAATGGGTTCATCCACCAGAATTACGTTTGACTTGGTTTGACTAAATAAAATACATTGGGGCTACATTGAGTCTGTTGATGTTGACAAATTTCGATGGCGTTTTCTTGCAATCAAGGCGGACGAGGTTCCATATGGTTTCGGTGGCGATTTATGATGCTGCCAGCGAGGCTGCCAGCGGAGGTTCCAGGGAATTTTAACTGAGTTTTCTCACGTTCTCAACGGAAGAGGTTCTGCACATTGTGGAGGTTTTTGATTATGCCAGCGGAGATTCCAGTTTCGACGGAGTTTTCTCGCATTCACGGTGGTGATTTTCGGTGCTGCCAACGGAAGTTTCAGGAAATCTGTTCGGTATTTTCTCGTGTTTTAGGTGGAGGAGCTTCCGCATGATTCCTGTGGAGATTTCCGATGCTGCCAATGGAGGTTCTACGCAATTTCGACGGAGTTGTCTCGCGTTGTCAGTGGAGCAGGTTTTGCGTGATTTTGATGTTGGCAGCGGTTGGCCGGGGAAATTCTGGAGGGAGCTTTTGCACCAGAGAGTTTCTTTGCTGCCAGAGAAGGTTGCAGGGAGATTTTCGTGAGTTTTCTTTTCCTGTTGTGTTTGTTTATCTTCGCCTCGATGCATGTGTGTATTTATACGTGTCACCGAAAAAGCGCATACTTTGTTTTGATGTTCACATCCCACTGAATGGTTGATGCAAACGATGGAAATTAAATGCATTTGATTTCAATTAAATGCTTATTCAATGGGAATTCTAAAAGTGAGACTCCCCTAGGGTCCACCACCCATTGTAGCACGGAAGTCCGATAGCCTATACGCATCTACGGAACAGTAAAGAATCTTTTTCCAGCAATATGATCGCATAATTGATCAAAAAGACGAGCTCCCAAACAGGAAGATGTCTCAATGAGAGGGGAGAAGAGCCCGCCATTTATCCACGAAATATTTTCAACAGTGTGTTGGCATTTCCACTCTCCCCACCCAAATCGCTTCAATTGGGTTCCCTGATGGTCCCTCCCAATCCCAGCATTATTTTGTGTTTATATAGGAGAAATGGATCTAATGTCGGCCTAAATGCCCCTAATTTGGGTCCATGCATAAATTCAGCACTCCTGTAAATTTTCAATAGTGACCAAAAATATCCATTAGTACCGTCCCAATTACGCGTTCATCTAGATAAAATTGATAAATAGAAGATTTTTAGCGATGTGCCTAATCTTAGATCCATAGGTCAACATTAGAGCCATTTCCCCTATATACATTAGGGAAGGTCCATTAATTATGTCACGCAAATTTGCCCCCCCCCCCTCCCACTTTGTCAAATTTTTTGTATGGACCTTAAATTTTTTTTTGTATGGCTTGTCAGTTTCCAAACCCCCCCCCCCCTCCTGAATGAGTGACATAACTCATGGACGATCCCTTATTATAGCAATGCTGTTACATAACAACAACGGGATGGCCGTTCAGAGTGGTTCAACGGATGTGAAATGAGGGAACATTTAAATTTAGCACGATTTAAAGTATTGCAATGCAACATTCAATTTGTTGACTAACAATTAACACATTTTTTAACGGCGCCGGTGGTGTAGTGGTAAGCGTGATTACCTCTCACCCCAGCAGGCCTGGGTTGAATCCCAGTCGGCGCCGCCGGGATGTTCTGAGGCATAACATCTCTGATCACACCTTCCTTCGGATGGGAAGTAAAGCCGTTGGTCCCCGGTTCATGAGTTGATGGGTCGATAGGTAGGGTCCAGGTGTGGGAGCTGCCTTCCTGGCACGTCGGTAGCATTGGTGCTCAGCACGGAAAACAAGATCGACGGAAAAAACAAACCGAAGGAAAAAAAAAAAAATTAACACATTTTCATTTTTTTTTATTATTTTATTCGTACAGGCTCAATCGAATGAACTTTACAGAGCCAAGTTATCATTTGCGTTATACATTATTAATGTCTTAAATCTAAAACTAAAGGATTTGAACTGATTACTCGTGGTCTTCTCGAGATTATTCGATGACAATTGTATGGATCAGAAGAGGCAGAAGGAGATTTGATTTATAAACATTTTTATTATCTTATCTAATTTCTGGAAGCACTCACTTGTTTTTTTTTTTGCTTGATTTGTTTTCCGTTGATCTTGTTTTCCGCGCTGAGCACCAATGCTACCGATGACAGGGAGTCAACTCCCACACCTGAACCCTACCTGTCGACCCATCAACTTATGAACCGGGGATCAAAGGCCTTACCTCCCTTCCGAAGGAAGACGTGATCAGAGATGTTATGCCTCAGAACATCCCGTCGGCGCCGACTGGGATTGAACCCAGATCTGCTGGGGTGTGAAGTAATCACGCTTACCACCACACCACCGGCGCCGCTAGCACTTATCATATCGTATTTCGCAAGCGCCACATTTCATTCAGGCTCTTTGGAACTATGTGTGGTGAAATATGAAACGCACCTTTTAAAGTGAATTGCACATAACAATGTCCAGTGTCATCACTTACTCACACATGAAATCTGTCTCGACCAACCTGGCAGAACGCGCCCTAACCCTCACTGCACAGAAGGGGGTCATAAGGCCAGGTCTCCAGTAAAACATCGCTGTCAATACAGCACAAGGATAGAGGTAAAAGGTTGGCACCATAGAATAATAATCACAAGCAATGTTGGAAATGTTCGCGATATTTCAAGAAGATCACCAAGAGAAAAGTTCGCGAGTCATAGTGAGTTTTTGCGAACTTTTCCATCACTGATCACAGGGATCAATTGAATCCTGCTTAAGATGCCGGATAGGGAGAAATAGTGTTTCAAGTAGGGGATAGTTGGAGTAACAGTAGTATTAGTAAAAGTTGGAAAGTAAACGTATAGAGGCCATGTTTTGCAATACCTATAAATATTTTGTTATCTACTTAGCTGCTAAATTCCGTGGAAAGGCTCCTTTTCGCTGTCCGGAGTCGAAAATCATTCGAATTTATGTTGTTAGTTTTCTTGAAGGTCTTTTGCTTAATGCTTGGTTTGTCATTCGTTTTGTATTTCTAAGAATTGACTCTATAAATTGATTAAAAAAAAAACAAAACAAAAAACGGTTCCCGCCCACAAGCTGTAGACCGAGTGCAGAATATTTGTGATGATACTTTCCAAACGTGCATACCCATAGAATCAAATCCAATTCAATAAACAATTTATTAAAAAAAAAATAAAAAAAAAAAACAGATGATTTCTATTGTGACTACTGTGACTAAATCCAGCATTCCTACTAAAATATCAAATGCTGTGCTTAATCATTTATGATTAGTACAGAGCAATAAACAATGTACGGTGATGATTAATCTGTTAATATGCTTTTATAAGCGGGTTCAAATGCACTTTTGGTAAGCATCAACATTGATCTGGCAACACTAGTGTGCATCTTTCCAATGTGGTAAAGATCCAGATCAGGCCTGGGACCTGGTAGCCTAATTAAACTACCTTAGGGTTTTGCCAAAGCCCAGGGAAGAATGTGTTGTTGTTGTTGTTGTTGTTATTTCTTTATTAAGGGTTGTTGTAAATGTTTTCAACGATTCAACGGCGAAGAGGCCAGAAACACTCTCAGAGATGGGTTTTGTTTTGATGCCTTCACGACTACGTTGGACCTCGTCGATTTTGCCATTCCAGTAGCTGACATTCTCAACCGCTGTTATTCCTGACAGAATTCTGACTAGCATACTCAGCAGAGGCTCTACAGAGCTTATCACCCCGCTATCAAAGCTATTCGATATTTTGTTATAGCAGAGTGCGCGTTGGAAATCTTCTTTTATGTTCCCGATCTCCAAGAAAAAAGACAAGCGAAAAGTAGAAAATTACCGAGCCGTTACATCACTTTTTAACATAGATGGTACGGTATTCCACTGACGCTTCTTTGCCTCAAGCGGATGGGGAGCATTAGGGTGGGTCTCCACTGCTCTTCGATTTGTATTGAGGTCCCCAACAAGTATGCTGAATTTGAATCAATTTGGTTACGATCTGGATTTTCGGGAGAACTTTCAAGTTGGTATGGGACAATGTATGGGAAACGGGAAGTCAAATGAATTAGCAATCTTCGGCAAAGTTGTTCTACATAGTTATCCCTTCTAAGTCTCAGTTTTGGTAAAAATGGAGCAATTTTTGTATTTTTGACAATTTGAATTTGAATAGTTTCGTTCCGTTTTCCCATACAAACTCTAAAGTTCTCCCACAGATCCAGATCATAACCAAATTCGTTGAAATTTAGCACAGTTTTTTGAGACTTCAATACATATCCAGTGGGGAGCAGGGGTCTGTTAGGTTGACTCATAAAGACAAGCGTTTCAGATATAAGATGGAGGGGCAAGTTTTGTCAAGTATCGGAAAAATAAGTAGGATCTTACGACCTATTACTAGGTACAAGTTTGGAATCGAGGCCTAAACGCTGTCCAAACTGGAGAGTTATAACATGTTATAACGGTTGTCAAATAATTGCAACACAGAAACTACCATCAAGATAGCGCTATAACATGTTATAACTCTGTAGTCTGAACGTACTACTAGATAGAGAAAAGTAGAAACAAGATGATCCGTTGAAGTGAACAATAAATGATCGTACGTAGCACTTTTTCGTGTAAACTACGAACTCTATAACAGCAAAGGATTTCTCATATTTTCCATGATTATGCCATCTACATTTGTTGATGCTGAAGACTACTGAATGTATGTACCTATATTTCCACCTTGTTTTCTAACATCCATTTTCCAGCAGCTAAAAGATTTCTTCACAAAATAAGTTCTTTTCACTTAATTGTTTTTTTTTCTCTTACATTCAATCTGTCATATCTTTCTACCGAATGGCATGTCCTGCTATTCTGCTGGTTAGGATGCAAATGAGTTACTATTTCAAGCTTTCTTATACCAGTTCGTTAATTGTATGTAATCGTCTTAGGACCTACCAATAAATAGGCTGAGAATGTTCTATTGCTACTAATAGCATAGCTTTGAATGTTGGATCCCTTTTTAGATAGATCAGCTTTTAAATATTTGTATAAGGTAGTTGCACATTTTTGAATAAACTTTTTTAATAGTTGCTATTCCCACTGCCAATAATGTCATACACCGAATAGAGTGAGTTGAATTTGAAATACAAAACGATAAAAGAAAACAAACTTACCTTTCTAGGCTAAGGAAACACACTGTCGCTAATATTGTTTACTCTTCAATCTCCGGGCTCTCTGAATTTGCAGTTGAGAATAGTATTGGAACGTAGTACAAGTTGCTGATTATGCGGGCGTGCATTTTTGCAAAGTTTGCGATCATTTGGATAAGAGCCTAGTGTCCAATAAAATGCATTTAGGTGAACACAAAGTCCGTATCGCTAGGAATTTCCCATGGGAGCTGGAAGTACTCCGCGGGCAGCGGAGTACAGTGAGTGGACTTAAAATCTTGCAGGTGCTTTTTCATCTACAGAAAGGAAGAAGATGATCGCATGTTGTAATAGTTATGAATAAATGGAAGATCGGAAAATGTAACTTACGAGGAATTTAGCCATCGAATCTCTTTGCTCACTGGTGTAGTCTTGGCCGATTTCAATGGGATAACTCCGTGACGTTCCGTTGTTGCCGTTGTCTGTCAGGTAGGACATCAGTAGCGAGAGACAGAGATCATCGGAGTCTGTAAGATTTTTGGTTAGTAATTTAATACTTTTGTAAAAAGTAAGTTTTAAACCGAGCAATCTCTTACCATTCCTCATAAATTCAATCGGCTTTGCTAGAATTTCCTTGGCCAGATTTTCCTGATCTGATTTAAATATATTGGGGAATCTATGCTTCAGCATACTGATCAGTAGGAAATTTCCACGGTTAGTAGCAAGATTGTTATCTCTAAAAGTTATGCAAAAAATTATATAAACTGTCTGTCAACCACAGTAGGGTAAAAAACTCACTCTGAGCAAATAATTTCATCTTCAGTACGTCTAATAAGCATCACAGGACCACTGTATTGCGAGATCAGTTCCGTATGATTTAAATTCATGTAATCTCTGATGGCAATTTTGACGATATTGGAAAGGCTTTCCGGCATTCTCGGTATAGCCAGCTGCAGCACGTCATCAAAGGTGGCATCAAGAATAACGCCCTTGACGTCGGGATACTGTGAAGCAGCATAAAGCGTTGGATATCCACCGATACTCCAACCATAAAGGACTATGTTTTCTGGGGTGAAACCAAGATCAGTTATCGCAAACTGCATTACGGCGTCCACTGCGTTTTGATCTTGATCTGGGTAGGGAGAACCCTGCAAAACAAAACTCATTAATTTACTAATAACAAAGATAACGGAACAAAGAACTTACACTACTGCCAGCAAACCCTGGATGGTTCCATCCTAAAACCGAATACTGCAGTTCTATGGGCGTAGACATTATACCAATCTCGTAGAAGCCTGCATTTCCTTCGGAACAGAGCACCAATGTACGTCCATTGGAACTCTTGTCGCGATTGTCGATGAACACGGTATCGATTTCATTACTGTCAGCTGTTTTCACTTTATTACGCTTGCCCCTCTCTTCAGTCATCAGCTTGGTGCGGCCTTGTAGCAACATAGGTTCTGTAGCGAAAATTAAGAATGTAATGCTCAATCAACTGTTCGAGAAGTTTAAATATGTAGACGCTTACCAATATAGCTTTGCAGCAATTGTACCGAACCCGGATAGATCATACGTATTCCAAAAGTATGAATCGCCAAATAAGCCGCAATCTGACAGGGCAATGATGAGATCCAGAAAGGCTTGTTTCGAGGAACTTGCGCACGTTGTCTGTAGGAAAAAAAAGAACTTCATGAATAATAATCTAGCAATAGCGTCGTGTAACCTTTTTTGCTTGCGAGTTACTGTCGTCATTAATAATTGAATAGATATACATCCCATCACTACTATACTTACACACTACTCGTGACGGTAAAGTCCACCGGCCATTGCTTAAAGTCAAAGTCATACTTCCGGATTTGATTTTTGCTGTCCGGGGTTCTGTCGTGGCGCTTGGCATTCTCGAGACACTCGGCGAATCGTACGTAAACTACATTCATGGACCGGCCCAGGCCACGCATGCACAGCGAAACGGCCACCAGTAGTCCGATTCCGGTTGTGAACTTGGCCAGCGTACCAACCGACTCCGCCACAAAGTATCCACGACGGTAGAGAAACGTAATCAACAGTGGGGATGTGTAGTATCCAAAACTCCACATCAAATTCAGCTGCACGAGGGCCGTCAAAAGAGTGGGCATAGAGAGGGAAACAAAACAGACCAATGTTGGATCAAAAAAACATATTTACGCGAAGAGGGAATTAATGAGTTTATGTAACAGCCTATGGCCGCTTTGGATTGGCCCCGTGGCGCTCACAGGATTTGCAGAACATTTTGCAAAGTAATTAAAAAAAAGTTAGGCTAAATTTGTCACACTCACAGCTGCCAGTAGTTGATCGCCATACTTTTCTAGCGTTCCGGGTTCATACAAATCCTGATAACGAGAAAACCAAAATTAAATATTGAATTATATATTGCTCATCACGCTTTCGTTGCTTTCGCCTGAAACTTATTTATAATAAGTAGGTAATAGATGGAAAGGAAACCTACCTTCGAACCGTCATACTCTTTGAAGAGTTTCGGTGAAAGAAGATACTTGTAGAATGGCATAATTGCCTTCAGATGGTGAATCTGTTTTTACTTTACTGTCAACAAACTTCGGTTTTTGGTATTTCGCATGAAAGTTTTACTTTTACTACTCTTCCCCAATACCTACATTAGTTAGCACTCAAACCCTGAAGATGGCAGATAATTTCTCTACGATAATCACGTTAGTGGATATTTTCTTTCCGATTATGTGTTATCCAGCTCAGTTAATATAATAACAAAAACACTGCTGCACACTAAAATAATCTGCCAACAGCGCGGCGACGACGTCTGTCTTTACGCGACGACGATCGACTTATCTAATAACAGCATGACAGGACAGACATTCAGTGAGAGTGACACAGGGGGAAAATCTGCGTTTTCCATTCCCGTTCGTCCCATCAGCCACACAACCACACCGCCCGCTGACGCTCACATACACATCGATACCAACAATCGTATACACTGTTTATGAAAAACAAACAAAAAAGAAAACATAAAACACCCCCCGTGGCCAGGCCTCTTTTCACTCTGCCTAAACATAACCAAGGTGACTACATATAGGTGTTCTAATGTGTCAAATTCATGATTCAGCCATGTTGGATTTTTGTATGGGACAGCGACCGAGTTTGTTTACAATTTGCTCTAAAACCGCACTCCCCCCCCCCGCGACCTCCTCGCCTATATAGTGACAAAGCTGTATCACCATTTATATACCCACCATGAACATAACAATATTTTTAATTTTGCGTTTGTGTCAAAAAGTTATGCTACAGAATCCGAGGGGATCCTCCGTAAAAATTATAGCAAAGAATAAAATTAAGAATAAAAAAGATTTCTCGACTTTATAGTCGATTTAAAATCCAGACTCAGGACTACCATAGATTCCCGCATAAACGCGAACCATCACATGACCTTACCGATAATGGTTATAAATTGTTTATAATCCCTGCTTAACTTCAACTGAAATGGTTATGGAACTTTACATGAACGTTTGTGTGATAAAGTTTTAACCTTATGTGTTATGGTTTTTTGGAAGCGGACCTTACAAATAATGGGTTGTTAAGAACCATTACCATTCCAAATTCTTGTTTTCTCCATACATTTTCGGAAAGAGAACTATATTAGAACGTTTTTACTTATGGTTTGAGAACATTAATGGTTATGGTTATGGTAGTCAGTAAGGTCCATTAATGGTTTTGTATTATCACTCAACTTTACGTGAAATATATCGTGAATTGGTAATCAGTAATTTACAGGCAACCAATTCGCGATATATTCCACATAAAGTTGATTGATGTTACAAAACCATTCATGGACCTTACTGGTTACCATAACCATTACCATTAATGTTCTCAAACCATAAGTTAAAAGGTTTTAGTATAGTTTTCTTTCCGAAAATGTATGGAGAAAACAAGAATTTTGAATGGTAATGGTTCTTAACAACCCATTATTTGTAAGGTCCACTTCTAAAAAACTATAATACTTAAGGTTAAAACTTTATCATTAAACGTTAATGTAAAGTTCCATAACCATTTCAGTTGAAGTTTAGCAGGGATTATAAACAATTTATAACCATTATCGGTAAGGTCAATTTATGGTTCGCGCTTATGCGGGTTGCTAAAGTGTGATTGTGTCAGTGAATTGTTTTCATCAGCAATATTTTCCGCTATGAAGTATTTTTTTCTGATGAAAACATTTTGCGTATACGTATACATTGAGTTTAACACTTAAAGCAAAGATGAATACTAAGATGAAACCACAAACGAAGTGACAGACGACTAACTGGCGAAGAAATCAATTAAAATAATGTGGTTCACTGTAATAGAATTTTCTTAGAAGCTTATTGTGCCATCAGCCACCAGATGGGCTAGTATTTTTGTTTTGATTTGAACATAGTTGATTTTGTGTGCAATATGATCTTTGACAGTGTGCAAAGAGTGTATCATTTTGTCATTTTTTTTATGCATTTCAGTTTAGAGTAGAGTGAAAGAGATAGGTCCTGGTGGAGTGACGTGATCGGAGAGAGCTGCAGTGTTTTTTTCTTCTTCTTATCTTTTATGAATTAATAATGATTTATAATGAATTAATGATTAAATGAAATGCAATATTGTTTTGATCGATTATCAAAAATAAGATAAACGAGCCAGATATGATCGAGAATATGCTTTTGAATGAAGGAAATTTGATGATTAAGTGTCAGACTGTTCATAACAAAATGTGAGACACTTGAAATCCAAGTGTATCACAATTGAACTTGTAGTGTTCGGGAATAATTTATATTATAAGATTCACACATGAAATGGATGTGTTTAGCAATTTGCGCAAATCGAAGTGTGGAACACATAAGGGTAACGTGTGAATTTTTTTAAGTGTAGGAACCCAAGGATACTGTAAAAGACAGTTATGGAGATATAAAGTTTTTCAGTTTTTGATGTTATACTCAGTTATTAAATAGGATTTACTTACCATTCCTGATCAGTTTTCTGTTTTAAAGATGATCCAGCCAAAGGGCTGAAAATCTATTTAATGAAGCCAAAAATAAAGTTCTATTTCATATAGAACTGACCAACTTCTTCACACCGGCTGACAAATTGATCGCTACTGGTAAAAGTAATTATTGTCAGTAAAATAAGATCCCATGAATTTCAATAACTAAACACACGAAATTATGGTGTGATTTGTTTTGATTTCACCGACAGGTGGGACATGTGATTTTTGAACATTGATCCCATGAAATGCGAATGAAATTCACATGATATCATGGTGACTGGCAATTAGCAAAATTCATATTTGAAAACACATGATTGGAACATGTGGATTTTTTTGAGTGTAGAACCAAAACATTCTAGTACATTCAAAGTGTTTTTTATGTTACTTCATACGCGAAGTTAACGATTTTCAGAGTTGGTTGGAAATGCTAACATGAAGCTTTAGTGTGATGATTTATTAGCTAGAGAATGATCTTTAGAAGAGTGTAGGTGGATAGTTCGTTAGAGTACGGCAGTATGAAAATTGAATAGAAGTTGAAAATGAGCGAAGGGCCATTAAAGCGACAGTTTTCAAGATAGACGCACATTTTTGCCTAGCCCGTACGATGTACGCGGGGACTTGAAGTATGTCTCCAAGTCCACAGTTTCATCACTACCTAAAGCCCCACGTTGCGAGAGCATTTCCAGTCGATGGTGTGTTATAATGCAGAACTGCAGAACTGCATTATAACACACCATCGACTGGAAATGCTCTCGCAACGTGGGGCTTTAGGTAGTGATGAAAACGTCGCTAGAACTATTCCACAGCCGCAGTCAGTTTATGAGCAACAAGAGGGACGCACATTTTTGCCTGTGGACTTGGAGACATACTTCAAGCACAGAGAACAGACATGGAGGCTCGAACAAAATTTCTCTAAAAACTTGTGTAAAGATTCCTATTTGACTTAAGCGCCACTAACGGCGACTTCCCCACTTAAAAACCCACTTTGACAACATGATGGCGCTGGCGTTGCACAAATTACACTAGACACTAAGTGCTAGTAGCGCCAAGTGGCAATTTTCAACAGAAAATTTATCGATACTAGCGCCAAATTGGTCGAAAGTGGAAAATTTATAGAGAAAATCAGGAGATGCTAACACCACGTAACGGCGACGTTCCCACTTATTTTACACAAGTTTCTGACCGAGCTTGAACGTCTGTTCTCTGTGCTTCAAGTCCCCGCGTACATCGTACGGGTTAGGCAAAAATGTGCGTCTATCTTGAAAAACTGTCGCATTAATGGCCCTTCGCTCATTTTCAACTTCTATTCAATTTTCATACTGCCATACTCTAACGGAACTATCCGCCTACCCTCTTCTAAAGATCATTCTCTAGCTAATAAATCATCACACTAAAGCTTCATGTTAGCATTTCCAACCAACTCTGAAAATCTTTAACTTCGCGTATGAAGCGAGGGGGGCGACACATCTAAATCTCAAGTTAAGATGCTCAACAAATCTCACACTAGCGAATCAATCTTCGAAAAATCTTCTTTCATTTGTTGCATCTACTTGCATCGAGCATCATCTTTTTGCAGGAAATCTTCAGAATCGTCATCAATCTTCTTTCTATCTACTCAGCGTGCGCGCAGCTAGCCACAGCATAGCACAATATTTTCTGCATCGTAGATAGAGTCGTCCCCCTCGGTATGAAGTAACATAAAAACACTTTGAACGATTACAAATATTTTTTACTTTTCGGTTCGTTAATCGATTAATCGATTATTTGAATGAAAATCAGCCATCACTTTTGGCGTCTTGCAGTGAAACTTTTCCAAGCTTTTGCCACCTACATTTCGAAGTGAGAACTACTAGAAGGAGGATAGTTTCCAAATTCTCCAAGTAAAACAGACGATTTTTGGGGCAAATCAGTACATAAAGAAAAACTAATAATTTCCGGTGGAAACTATTGCTTGAATCGTGTAAGAAAACGTGTTTGCAAACTAACTGTTGTTATTTCGGTATGGATCGGAGATGTTTTCATGGAAAATTATGCATCAGAAGTTTGCACCCCCAGGTAGAGGTTACCTCCTGCGCAGCTGCATTTTTCAGAAAATGGTAAATATGCGCGATTTTCACTAAGATGAAAGTGGAAATTAAGTGAACTTACTTTGGAAAGGTTGTATCATGCTGGTGGTAATAGAGAATTGGTTGTATAGGAAGCCAATATTCAATAAATGTTCATTTTGGCCTTTTTTAAGCAAACATATTGATACTCACAATTTTTGATGGAAAACGCACCGGAAGTTGATTTACTCAACACGCACCATACTATAAAATAGTGCTAGATGGTCTTCAAAGTGATAACAAGAGGACAAATCATCTTTATTTTGAGTAATTGAGCAATTTACTTGTGTTTACCATCATATTTACGATGCAGCGTTGATGGAGCCGTGAAATGAAATGAATATATCTTATGAAAGTTCACCTGGAAAAGTTAAAGATGCACATCAGTCTGATCGTAAAAACATTTTCTTCCTCAAATCGAATGTTATATTGGAAGGATTTCACGCAGGCTTGATGAAAATTATGATTTAATGCTCATTTTCTCGAATTTTATATGCAGTCTGTCTACATTATCATCATCATGCAGTGGCGACATCTGCGTTGAGCTATTGCGGCAATCTTCCAATAGATGAATGTGAAACGTCATTTCAAATTTAAGGACCGTACATAAATGATGATACAGTTTGAAAGGGACTGGGACTAATCACAAATTGCGTCCCCCGGTAACTGAAATAAACACGAGTGTTC